GGGTCCTCCGACCCTCCCCCTGTATCCGGCCTTGACAGGCTTCTATAAGCGTATAAATGTTCAAATCTATTTGTTTTTTCATCATCATGGTGATTATAAGGAACAGCGAAAGACATGATGATCGCATTGATTACAATATTCGTCAGTTCATACAGTCATCATATATACGTTTTTAATTTGTTAGGTTATCATGCGCATAAAGACCCTTCTACGATTATTAAAGGTAAGATTTTGTCTCAAAGCACTCTGTAAACCGTCGAGTTCAATATTTCGCTGAATAACGGGCGGGTCGATGGTAGCTTTTGTCTCGTGACCATGTACACAGCCAAATAAATGGGTCTAATATAAAACTTAGGTAACCCCTAAACACCCAATAGCAGAGCTCCAATAGCAATATGAAATAAATGATTATCTAGTACTACTGTTTAAATGAATGTAAACACAAAATTTTTATGGGCATGTGAACAAATACTCGAATAACACTCGAAAAAGGTAATACAAAACAAAGAGTATGTTTATGAGAATTTTGTGCTCTAATTTAATGTTTTTTTTTTAGTTGAACGAACCTATTATAACTTAATAAGTTSGTCTGAAAATGTCAATTGATTTAACTGTAAAAAGTCTACATACAGTACAATCAGTTTTAATAACAATTGAAAAGGATCGATGTTTGAACTTCTCGAACTTCACATCACAGCAAACTGTACCTGAWTACCTTACGTATTTCTTTACCTTGATTTTTTGAACTTCCGATAAATGTTTCCTCTCTGAATTATCGTCGGTAAAACTGACACTAACCTTGACTGAGGCATCCAGTGATAACCTCGTCTTCATTTTTCGGTTCAAAAATATCAACTCCGTTCAAAAGCACCATTGTTTCATAAATTTATAAAGTCCTTTAAGACTGAAATTTTGTCGAGTGTTTGTTTTAAGTCTCTCTCAATCAAGTGATGCTGGCATTCCTTGGTTTCAAAATGTATTCACTACTCGACAATCGTTGCTTTTCCCCATAATATTGTAGTTTTTCCAATACGGCATCGTGTTTTTCTTGTTTTCGATATATCAAGCGGATATTCATCCCGTTCCATTTTTCTTATTCTTATTCTTATTATTGCTGCATCAATGTGTGCACAAGTCCATGGACCCTTTCAATTTTGCGAATATTTCAAAGAATTTGTCTTTGCCATTTTCTTCATAGACTGTCCTGACAGCTGCACATGCACTGGTCTTTCAACAATAGGAAACATATCATAYGCCAATAAAGTTGTTGTTGAAGCTCGGTCTTGGCTGAATGATATTCCCGCAAAAATGCCACARCGGACTGCTGCTCTGTAAGTATCTAAAAACATCTACATATAAAMAAATAGATAAACACGTTGGATAGCGACTTAAAGTGCACCTCATCACTTATTTCAAACTCGTATATAATTGTAAGCAAAACTTTAAGAACTTCTTCGAAAAAAGAAATCGTTATGGCGAAATCCCTGGACGCACGGACATCGTTTCATTCTAAGAGACTGGGGGCGAGATTGACGTTCACCAAGGAATATCATGTAGGGCTATATCCTTTTCGCATTTCAAACGGAAAGTCACCAGACACGAATAATTAAACTRTGTGACTGATATGTTAATAAAAATGCCGTGGTCGTCTCCCTGGGGCCAAAACGTCATCAAATCTCGTTCCAATTCTCCACGTTTCCTATCGTTCATGACCATACAGGCTATTTGGAATTTTGGAAAAAAATCATGGATTTGCCCCATTTCTTTTTTCACATAATATAAGTGCTTTTAAGTGAAAACTTTTCTCTTCAATGACTTCAAATAAGTGCTTAGGTGCACATTAAAGATTCGTGTTGCTTCACAATTGTCAGGTTTTAATGAACTGAATATAATTCAACAATTATAAACTMTCGTGATTCCTATGTAGCCTCCTCCGTAGGCATCTCTCGAGCGTTTCCTCTTTTTTATACCTTTAAGCTGCCTGTTTTCTGATGAGACTGCAGACGATTATAGGATTACGCCACCCCGGATACCAAGGCCATGAGCCTCGGCCAAGAGGATACCCAGGCTCGAATAGAAGGGGAGAGAGGAGGACTGGGTGACTAGTCACCCCTCTTTTTCTTGGATGAAATAATAAAGCAAACTAAAGAAAATAGTATAGTTATTTTAAAATAACGTCTTAAGAGCCCGTAAGAGCCCGGGGCATTCACCCTGGGCTCGTTTCGAATAGATCGGAAGTGAATTTATTCGGTTTTCGGCTATGCTGGAACCCATTCTCCTTGTCAGTTCTTTACAAGGTCGTTTAGTACCGCCACGTATTAATAGACGACAAACTAACAGAAAAAGTACCAGCAGAAGCGGTCAAATTCTACTGGAAGCAAGTTATTGTAATTCCTTTTTAGAAACTAAATCGTCCGAGATCACATTAATTAAGAACTTTATGCCCTACTTCCCTCTGTTATTCGTTTTTATTAACTGATGCTGATGCAAGWACTTGAAGAGAAGGATCAGAAAATGGCTTATTTTATTTTCTTCAAATTGTATRCCGGTAAATTAGTTCATTATCGGACGCCAACTCTAACTACATCTTTATCCCTTTTGATGGCTGTTAAGTCATCATTCGTCCAGGCCTCAAGTTCCCGCTTTGCAAAAAAGCACAGAAAGCTTTTTTTCTGAATTTAATCGCTTCAAAAACAAACTATTATTTCAATTTCTGTGTTTCTTTTCGTTAAATCATAATGAAGGATCGTTAAAGTTTCCTTAGAAGACATGAGAAAATCCTTAAAATGCACTTATTTTAGATCTTATCGAGATTCTCAATTAAAGCTGAATATTTCATGTACTGTAAAAGGTTCTTGGTAAGAATAGTAATTGGAACTCTCATTTTAATATAACATGTTATATTTGTTTATTACAAATAGGATGTTTCAAGATAAAAAGATAACAAGGATTAAAGGAAAAGCTTTTAGTCGACTTSCCAGCCTAGTTTACCTGTATGTACAAAATGAGCTCGTTTCTTTGTGCAATAACCCATTCCAGGAACTGTAATCCAGGAATTACATTGCAATCAAGCTACGCAGTTGTTTTAAAAAGGGCTACTTGGGCGAAAATTGCGAAACATTAGAAAAGATTTGGAAATCAAATAGACCTCAAATCCATATGGCTCTAATAATCATGCACCAACAGATTTCAAGAACATATTGATACAAATTATTTGGTGAAAAAATGTTGGAGTAAATGACGTCATGACGTCATAACCCTTGGGATAATTCCAAAAAAATATTTTCCGGCAGTTGTCTTTAATATACATAAATGTGTCATATTTGTATTGCTTGAAGTTTTGAAATGAAGCCATTTTCATGCAAGTAGCACTTTCAAGAAACCAAAATAAATGACATGAATTCTTATAATCAATTTTGTCGTTATTTATAAATGGTTACTGATGCGATCTGATTTAATATTAGTGACCTTTCGTGGAATCACATTTACGATATCGCGAAAGACGCGTTTTATAATGGGTCGTCACTAGAGAACTTGTAAGTAGCATAGATCTTATATTTTTATTTATAAAAGAAATTTCTCCAATATATCTACCCGAGTTTCTTCTTTCTTTAACTGTTAAAATGCAGCAATATCCCTTTGCTTTACGAACTATTTATGTATGCCTTTGTCGATTTTTGTTTTTCAGACGCCTAAACAATAACTTTATAAAGTCTTTACCTCGATCTGCTTTTCGTGCACTAGGACGTCTTAAGATGCTGTAAGTTTGAAATACTATAAATCATCGAAAATTATTCTCTTCTTTCAACTAAGTAAGCGTACGCACGAGACGTGATGATATCAACACAACATCTATTTCCTTCTATTGTGTGACTATGAAATACATGATAAAATGGAAAGCTATAGTGCTTAGAAGGAGGTTATTTCGGGAAAAAGGTCCGTAGAAATATATTCGGAAAAATTAAAAAACGGCCTCGCTTGGATTCGAACCCACGGCCCACGGATTTGTACAAGGTCTGAAAGGTCAGACTGAGTACTTTCTGTGTGAAATAAACGTTATTGACCAGGTAATCAGCGTGCAGAACACTTTTAAGTATCACACTATCACCAGTATTTTTCGTCCATAAATGCGCGCTATAAATACAATTAATTTTTGTTACAGCGATCTTGGAGAAAATCTACTGACGGGATTATCAGAGAACACATTTACCGGTTTGATAGATTTAGGAGTGCTGTAAGTATGAAAATTTCTGTTGAAATGATTGGGAAACTGAGTCACAAAGTGGATTAGGTAAGTTTATATAGTTTTCATACAATTGATAATTTTGCATTTTGTTACATTTCTTTCATAATAGAAGCCTTCGCTCTAACCGAATAAGAACCCTGCCTGGAGATGTCTTTGAGCAGACAATCAACTTAACTCACTTGTAAGTGTTTTTGTTTTCGACTCATTGTGCTTTTGCAACCTGGTACTCGGTATTTTTTTAAAGATACCATGATTTGATGCTGTAGTTAACAAGTTGCAGTACAAATTAATGTAAGTTAAAAAATATCTTATAGCTCTAACAGCTAAGAATTGTTTTCTGTAGGTATCTTCAAGAAAACAAATTACTTTCGTTACCAAATGGAATGTTTCGTTTTCTTTCAGAACTTCGTTATTTGTAAGTAAAAAAGTYTGAAAAGTTCTATTCATTAGAAKCACACTAGTTATCTTCTAACAAAGTAAAAGTAAATACTAAATGGGTGATCACGTAACATTCACATTTAAGAGTTGTTACAGCGACATGATGGGAAGTCATTATTCATCTTGCTGTTGTTGTTGTATTTTTTTTAAGGAATCTGAGTCATAATAGAATTAACAGCTTAAATCGGCACACGTTTCAAGGTCTCAAGACTTTAAAAAATCTGTAAGTATTTAGCAGGTAGAGAAGTCATTTGTAAAACCGTAGTTGTCTGGTAATTAGTCGGTTGTTCCATAAGTTATGGAACAACCGACTAATTACCAGACAACTACGGTTTTTCATAATTTCATACGCTGACGAACCTTAAATTCTGAATACACGTACTATACATGCATAGGTAAGTTAATATGATATGACAGTGCGAATGTTGTTATAAAATACGTACGACAATTATCAAATCAAAACGACTGCATTTCTACATGATCCAAATGACATTGATGTGATTAATGAAATAAATAATATAGTGAATATAAAGTCGAATGTAATAAAARAAGGTTTTAATATCTAATTCTGTTGCAGAGATCTTCGAGGAAATAAGCTGTCAAAGGTAACACAAGATGCCTTTGCTGAACTGACCGAACTGGAAGATTTGTAAGTATTATTAAGACTTCGCATGTGGTTGGTTAAAAAAGGGGGACATTTAACCGTACCATATTTATAAAAAAAAATAAATTGAAATAAACAAAAAATAGATAAATTGTCTGTACATAATTTTCAGAAAATTAGATGCTTTCATTTATTGCTGTTATGCCAAAAAGTCCATACCAGGAATAAAGTGCGTATCAACCCATTCAAACGAGTTCTCAAGCTGCGATGATTTAATGAAGAACCAAGTCCTACGAGTGTTTATCTGGATTCTTGGTATTTTCGCTGTGTTTGGTAACATGCTGGTCATCATAAGAAGAGTCAGAAGTAAGAGTGTTGAAAAAGACACACAGTCGTTCTTCTTGTTCAACCTTGCTGTTGCAGACTTTCTAATGGGCGTGTACTTGCTAATTATTGCCGTGGTAGACATACAATGGCAAGGTGATTACTTCAAACACGATCTCGCGTGGAGATCAGGCATTGGCTGTGCAACAGCTGGCATCCTGTCAATGGTTTCGAGTCTTGTCTCTGTTGTCATGTTGACAATTGTAACATACGACAGACTAATTTGCATCGTTTCCCCCTTTTCAACGAGAAAGATTACACGAAAGCATGCNTGTACATAATTTTCAGAAAATTAGATGCTTTCATTTATTGCTGTTATGCCAAAAAGTCCATACCAGGAATAAAGTGCGTATCAACCCATTCAAACGAGTTCTCAAGCTGCGATGATTTAATGAAGAACCAAGTCCTACGAGTGTTTATCTGGATTCTTGGTATTTTCGCTGTGTTTGGTAACATGCTGGTCATYATAAGAAGAGTCAGAAGTAAGAGTGKTGAAAAAGACACACAGTCGTTCTTCTTGTTCAACCTTGCTGTTGCAGACTTTCTRATGGGCGTSTACTTGCTAATCATTGCCGTGGTAGACATACAATGGCAAGGTGAWTAYTTCAAACACGATCTCGCGTGGAGATCAGGCAGTGGCTGTGCAACAGCTGGCATCCTGTCAATGGTTTCGAGTCTTGTCTCTGTTGTCATGTTGACAATTGTGACATRCGACAGACTAATTTGCATCGTTTCCCCCTTTTCAACGAGAAAGATTACACGAAAGCATGCYGTCATCATTAGTGGTTGTCTGTGGTTATTTGGTCTACTGTCAGCGGTCCTTCCGGTGATGAATCTGGACTATTTCAAGTCATCGAGCGATGATGAGGTTAATAAGTAGGAATAATTATACATATTTTGAATTTTGAATCTCAAGTTTGAAAGCTTCAATGGAAAAAGTAGCAAGGCAAAAGCTTGTTACGCACTCAGAGCGAGTTGAAAGACCCATGGAACGCCGCAACCATCGTCCTAATCTCGATTTTGAAAAACAATCGCCCAGCCGTTTTCATAAATTCTCTTAAAAATTACGATTGTGTATATCTTTATGCTATAATAAATTTTTTATAATTTTTGATATATTTATCAAATGGAAATTGAAAATTAAATTGAAAATTGAAATGAAAATTTACCTTAAATTGATAATGTTGACCAACGCAAGTCACGATCAAATCAACGACGGTACTTCAAAGCCATTACCCAGAGMTGGACAGCTCACATGTCACTGGTAAGGTGACACTCGTGCGACTATTAGCCTTGGAAATTACGACTATTGTTGGATATCGCATATAATGCTGTGTTGATATTGATAAAATGATCAGTAATGATGCTGACTTGAATTCAATGTATTTTCCAGACTGGCTTTGGTTTTTACGGAAGATCTTCAGTCTGTTTACCARTGCAGCTTTCTCCTGACAGACTCGCAGGATGGGAATATGSCGCAGGACTTTTCCTGGGAATGCCGTTCATCGCCTTTATGTTCATGCTTATTGCATACATTGTAATATTTTATCGTGTCAGCCTATCATCCAATAAAATTCGCTCCACTGCTGTTAACAGGGAGTCAGCTCTTGCCAAGAAACTGATCTTCATAATTTTAACTGATTTTCTGTGTTGGATGCCAGTTATCATAATTGGTACTTTGGCTCTTACAAGAATCTTCTACGATCCGACCAAACAAGTCTACGTGTGGATTGCAATATTYGTTCTGCCAATCAATTCGTCCATCAACCCATTCTTGTATACCTTTTCAAATTTGAGAAGATCAACCTCCACAGACAGCAAAATAAAAGGTTAACTCACGCACACAACAACAACAGCGACGACGACGAATATTTGATTGCATTTTGAATCCTCAGCATTAAAGATAGTTCTTGGCTCTTAGTTCTCTCGCTCACGTGACTATTATTTATTAAATAATGTTTGTTATATCACGCGCTCGATTTGAACAAAGCCAATCTTACGTGCGTACTAATGGTCAAAACGCGCGTATTATTGTGTTTATTCAACATGTTTCAATTAAATTCGCCAAAAAATATAGGAAATATTGTACGAAAGAAAAAAATTCTATTTTTTCTTTGGGTCTTTACAATATATAAATAAAAGACGTCAAAATATGAATAAAACAACAGCGCAATACAATATTGTCTCATGGCTTATTTTTTTGCTCTCATCACATTTTGGCGTAACCTGCGTGCAGTATCTATTTGAGGATAGAAACACTGAAAGACGGAACAATCTATTTGTTATTTACTGCATTGAATCCATTTCTAAACTGCGTCGTTTCATTTCAGCATTCCGCCTTAGTCTTTTTGGAACAATTAATAGTAATGGCATGAAAGATTGCACCGTGACTGAGACATTTTACGCTGTTGACGATTCTCCACGGCAGGGATCGAGGAARAAAARACAGAAGCCACTGACTGAGGAATCTRTCTATCTTTTCAACATACTGGAGGAGTTGAAGATACAAAAGTACCATAGTGGAGTGGTAAGRGGAGATGACGWGCTTGTCAACTACTGATTGCAATTATCCCGTTTGTTTTCATATATTGTGTACCGTTTTGATTAGTTTTGCTTATTCCTGCCAATTCTGCATTAGTATGTCCACAATTCTCTCTTTCTTACGTGTAATTATATGCTACCATTTTTCAAGGGATACCTTCTTGCTGAAGTTGAAAATCCTGGAACGCGCGAGCGCTGTCTTCTTAAATATTTTGACGAGGATATGGAAGATGCCTGGGAGAAAGAGCTTTGGATTCTGTCTTTGCTGAAGCAGGCCAAAAATACCGAAGTCAATGGAGTTAGCTTGGCGAGATACAAGTGGCATTGCACTGGTACATTATACCGAAATACATAGCACTAGAATATATTAGTTATAGTAGATGAACTAGATTTATTTTTTGCTCTAATGCGCCTAACAAATGACATAGTTCGCATAGCTTGAACAGCAAGAACAGTTAGTTAGCGATTAGTCGGTCGATAACGTTTTCCAGGCCCCACTCACCCAATCTCTTTTCAAATGGGTTTCTTAAAAGAGCGCGGAAGTAGAAGTAAGGGTAGCATGGTAATTATTAACTTTTTGTAATTTATATTACAGCAAAGCAGCACTCAATCACAGGAATTGTCCCACAAGAGCTTCAGGAAATTAAGAATTCAGCGTTGTAAGTAGCACATTTATGGATTCAGCAGGTTATTTTTAAACAAATCCTCTATTTTAAGTTCCTTACGTCTGAGTGCTCACATCTTATTATCATTTTTTGTCAAAATAGGATTTGCTTTGATTACGTTCCTAACAAATGCCTTCATGATTACCTGGAAAACAAGGAACCGCTGACATTTAGGATCGTGTGCTCCTTGTGTATTGATATCATATCAACCATTGAATACCTACAAACGTGTGGAATAAGTAATAACAACATTAACTCACGAGCAATTGTTGTACGTCGAACGGGATCACAGGTATGGTGTAATTTATCATGAAGCTTCCCACTTTGCAATTGAAAAAAGTTGGTTTTGCTTGTAACCAATCCCCTCTAGACTAATGCGATAATGGCGTTCGTTTCAAAGAGATCTTTTGTTAAGGACTTCCGAGAAAATTTATTTTGGTAAAGTGTTGTGTAAAGAAATCCATAATCAAACATCAATCGTGCTCCGTTCCGAAAATAACTGCAAAGTTTAAAAACAGTGTGACGTGTGCAAAACCCAGCTCTTTTTTTCATTTTATACCAATGTTGTTCTGCGGGGACTAAGAAGGTGTCAGAAGTGCAATGAAATCAGTTCACTCAGTTCTATATATCCTACCAAAGCTTCATATATATTCCTGTTTCCTTTCAGGATTCTCCAGTGAAGGCAGTTATTGTGGATTTCTCAAGAGCAATGAAGCTACAAAAATATGAAGACGGCTCATACGCAAAAGCTGATATTTTGCAGTTCAGGTTTTTGTTTAGAGTTTTGCTGAGGAACTGTCCCGAAGACTGTAGTCATTACCAACAGGTATAATAACCAAACATCTAACGATAAAATCAATCGCATAATTTACGAATTGCTAGATAAATCAAGAATCAAAATGACAAATAAAGGATTAGCGCAAGCTAGTTAGGAGAGTAATTAACTAAGAACTAAGAACTAAGAACTAAGAAGAATAAAACAAGAATACAATAAGGATGGGAATGTCAATGCATTATCTATTTGTAAATTAAATCCCATGAGCCTACAATTTGGTGTAATACTTCGTAATAAGGATATGCCGTCTTTTCTCTTCAGATTGATGACATTCTTTCTCTTTGCAAATATGAAAGAAAGGTGGATACTGCTGAATCGATAAAGTATTGTCTGACGAGTGCACTGATGGAAATAGACGAAACATTCAACACAAAGCTTTGAACAAATCGTTCATAAGGGTGTTTTCATATATAAAAATGTAAGCGCACTAATTCAATATTTTATCAATAATGAACGTAGAACTAATAATCGTAGAACTAATAATCGATACCGAATGTAGACTTTGTTGGTAGCTCAAGCATGTATATAGCTATTGCCCGTATAATTGGTGAATGCATGACCAAAAGTAACTATGCCGTATTTATTATTGATGGCAATGAATATTAATTATGCCTTTGCATCGTTTGCACTGAAACGCAAACAGTCCAGATACAACTTCTCCACTGCAATTAGCAATAGACTTCTGGAAATCAACTTAAGTACTTTGACGCAGCCATCGGTTTTGATTGTCACTATTTACACGTTGTGTATTTTTTTCTGGGCTGGTCGCGTAGCAATTCAAACGGCGAAAGACGCAAACAATTGAAATGAACATTATGGTCTGTTGACCACAGTGATTTTTGAAGTATGCAATCGCCTTTCCGCTTTGACAACCTTTTTAAAAAGAGGCACGTTTAAATTCATGTCGGTCGATATCGACTAATGATTTGAACCAAAAAGACTACTGTTATAGAATCGAAGAGCCGAATTGCATATAAACGATATTGGAAATCATTTAATTGCTCATAGAGGGCTAAAATGGCTAGAGTATAGAATATACGTCCACTGTATAGCCATGAGACATTTTTCTTGCAAAGTGTTCCACGTTTTCAGGACTGAAAATTTTTAACACTATCATTTTGGGCAATCCCGAGATTCTTTGCAGGCTTTTGAAATAGGTGTATACTAGATCTTTGTACCCGTGGTCGCCAGTCGGGAGTGTGCACCACAGGAACCCCATTACCCGTTATAAAGTCTATGAATATAACTCGTTCCTCTTAAAGGGACATGGTCCACCAGCATCCCTTTCGAGCTTTTGTTTATGAATATAAACAAATATAATAGAAATACATCGTAATATAAGCAAAAACTTACTCTTTATTATTCCTTTATCATATATGAATGGAGATGCTTTAAGATTCGACCGTTAAACCGATGGATGGAAACGGATTGCAAATGGATATTCGAAGTCACCTCATTTTCCATATATGAAAAATCTAAAACATGTACGACCGCATTGCATGCTAGTGGACCATGTCCCTTTAAACTAGCGACCGCGGGTACACTAATAATCATGGCCGGATATGATATATGGACGGATATCCTATAGTCGCTAAAATAGGAGAACGTAATAAAAATAATTAAGCACGCTTGATAGCTTGTCATTATATATCTAGACATCTAGTATCCTGCATTGTATCTATATCTTGATCCAAATCTTGGATATTTTAGACATTTTTTTCTCCATATTCAGAACTTTACGCAAATATATATTCTGTAAATATCAATATATTGTAGAATCGTTTCTCGCCGCAAAATAGCTGCCGAAAACGTTTGAAAATTTTTGCATGATTACGGAGCTATTATACAGCTACTTCAAAAAACATTGTCGGGGAGAACGGCGAGCGGCGAACGGCGATTGTCGAAGGAAGATTGCACGACCGAAAGGGACTATGGTTACACTTAAAATTTCTCAAAATTTCACTTATTGGATTCACCTTACATAGAAATGGAGGCTAAGTGGAGACAATGTTTAGGACAGACTATCTTACAATACAAATCAGTTTTTATTGCCTTTCAACAGGCAATACCCATGGCTACTTTCGGTCGTGCAATCCCCGTCCGACCATTGGCATTCGCCATTTTATCCGACAACCTTCTTTAAATAGCTATATACTAGGCTGGCTAATATTATATATAATCATTAATGCAGTTTTGAATATCATTATAAGCTATTTCAGAACAAAGTAACTCTGTTTTAGTTCTTGGAATATTGTTTTTTGCTTGCCTCAAACTGGTGTGTTGTTTTGTAAATCTTGTATTTATTGAAGTGTCATGGTTTCCTTCCAGAGTTTCATACCGCGCATTCTACGATAAGTGTACTGCTGTAACGAATATTATGATGAATTCAATATCATGAATAAAGAAAGAAGTACAAAATGCAATTAGATAAACTGAATACTCTTCATAGTTTATCTGGTTTCATTTTAGTATTAACTAAGTATCCATTACCGTCCTACAATGAACGCGGCCGCACGGGAATTCTGCAAATTACATGTTACTTCTTACCTGAAAATGTAAGGACAAAATAATATATAGTAGAGTACAGATTAATAAAAGATGTGCACTTCGATCATTGGTGATGCATTTTATGTTGTCAGAGGTGATACAACGGTACAAAAATCGACAGCTTTCTCTCTCTAAAGGCCCTTTTACACTTGCGATTTTTGCCACATTGCCCAACGATTGTTGTGACGATAGAAAATCGTTACAAGTTGCAGCCAATTTTCTGAAGCATGTTCGAAAACAAAAATCGCATGTGCATGTAAACGGGTCTTAACTTTTAATTTCGGAGACTAGGAGAGTCAAGCGTCGAAAAGTTCTATGGACAATGTTTGAAGGGACAACGCAATATGCCCAAGGTTAGGATATAATTTTCACGTCACGTCCTAAACTTCTCGCAGAAATACACCCTAGTCCCAGACTCTATTTTTCTCTCTTTGCTATTTCGTTTTTGTTCTCGCGAAACGCTTATTGTGCCCGAAAAAAGTATTGAAGTGGGGAAAAAACGAGCCTCTGCCGGGGACAACGGTGGCAGAAATAAGTATCACTTATTATTTTAGTTTTTGACCAAACCTGGGTGAAAAAAGTTACATTTTGATAAACTATAATAAAAAGGAGCAAAAGTAAAGGAAGATTTACTTACCTGGTTCTACGTGAAAATTACAAACAAGAAAAATGAACGACAATAGCCAGGAACCATTATAGTAAAACTCGTTAATCCTCTGTGGTGTTGATTTCTCTTGCGGTTTAAAGTTAACTAGTACATGGCTGTTGTTACAATCTTTTTGGTAATGAACGCGTTAATGAAATGTTGAAGTAGCCTGAATTCACTATTTTTTTCTGTCTTTAGCCGTCTACATTGGAAAGCAGATCAGATGTTGCGAGTTCGCGAAGTAGGAAATATTCACGTATTGGAAGAAATGTGTGTATGAACCAAAGAAAATGCTCAATATAATAACCTAAACATGTCACTGCAGCACCGATTAAAACAAAGCACGATAAACGACGGCTTTTGCTACTGGACAAGATTGGTCTATAAACAACTTCGTAATAGAAACAAGTCAAGAAAACTACGCCGAGTAATCAAGAGTTTTAAGTACCAACGTCCTACAAAGTATAACAAGACCGTTCAGAATGTTCAGACGGTGACGGAAGAGGAATGAAGAAGACGAATAATGCACTAAGCTTTAATTAGACATTGTTTCAAGGGAAATTTATTTCATACTTTCAAGTTATCTTTTAACGAATATAACTGCCTCGAATTCACAATGATTGTTATATATAAATTAATCCTCGGCTGGATGGAGGATTAGTTTTATTTTCACTCTGAATTTAGGTACTTAGATGATTGTTGTCTTGCTGGCCATGAGCCCTTCTAACCACATGACATACAACACAACTTTCTAATGAAAGAATGTTTGCATTCACCATTGCTTCTTAGAACGCCACAGCTGAACTTTGATAACTTGTTTCCCCGACATCCTAACAAGTAAATGAAATGCTAGGGCTTTTAAAAAAATATCTATTCTTTTCTATACATCATCATAAAAATGCAATAAAAAGAATAATCCGAACTCTGATTAACAAAAACTGCACTAGTGAAAAAAGAAAAGATTATGTAATGAAGACGAATGAACGAACAGCAAGTGCTTACCTTGACGGCATGGTGGCTTTGCTTTACTCGGCCATTCACAACGTTTAACACTGTCGCTCCATACCAGTCCCTTTGGGCACGGCATCTTGACAATTCTACTATGAACGCAGCTGATGTACCCGTTGCAGTTGTCAGGGTCTGGATAGTTGCCATTGCCTTTACCACTACAATAATTACCTAAAACAGAAAATACCCGTTTTTTTACAATATCTTCTCCTTTTTAACTCGAAGATTGCGTAAGCAATCGAATAGTTATAGGAGGGAGATAGATGATGGTGTTTGAGGTGGACTAGTTAATAAGTCACTAATTCTTTTCCTGTAAACAAACGGGCATTTACAAATCGGTAACCAATANGTTTTTTCCCTCTCTTATTATCTAAACGAGCTTCCAAACTCCAAAATAAAACTCTACGAGTAAAATGAGTGTGTTAAAACTTACATAAACGTCGCGCCGAAATTCGTTGCACTTAGAGAGAATATTGTGCGAACTTGAACTTGAACCGACTGCCGGCCGCGCAACAACGATAATAATAACAGATTTCTCTTTTATTATTCTTATTTAAAGAGTTAAAAGACCTTAAAACAACATAATCAACATTTCTGAAACTTTCATGGTACTGTAGAGACATTTTTCTATTCGAGAAAAATCTCAACCAACACGGCGTCCTGCCGGTCACGCAACATCAAAATCCTAAATGGCCAGCAGCTCAATAAATAACAGATTTTTCTTTCCATGCATCTTTTATTATTCAAATTTAAGAGTTAAAGGATTTTTGCCAGTTCCAACTGTAAGTACATTACTAGTCTATCCGAGAAAAATCTCGATTCTTTACTAGGATTACAGTTCATGTTCAGAGGGTTATGCTGTGTGGCAGACAGCTCACGTGATAATGCTGTATTAAAATGATATATGATGATAATGTTATATGATGATAATGTTGTAGCTGGGTGATTTGAGAAAATGCGACTAGCCAATCAGCGCAAAGCTGACAAGCTTATGTTGTAAACATAACCCCCCGACRGGAGRAATTTGCACAGCAAAACTCGACCCAGTAGAGTAGGCTGCCTGTCATTCTATTCTATCCGAAAAATCGAGGCTAAAACGCAAAGAGAAATTGAAAATCTTTATAAAATAGCTTTTAAATGTCAATCAAATATTTATTGTTAAAGAAATACAATTTTATCTTAAAAATGAAAAGGCAAATAATTTTTTCTTTAAGACCACGAGTCTCCCCTCCCTGATAAAAATAATTGGTCTGTGTTCTACGCGGGTTCTCCATTGCATGCGAAGCAATGGCCGACTTCAAGAAGACTTCAGAAGGTCGTTGAAGCGACGTTCAAGTCCAAAGTATCTTAGGAGGAGCCATTGCAAATCCTTTTTCTTAGCTCTTGTTTCCTCTAAGCTTTGAGGTATCTACAACATTACTGGAAGACTGAGCTAGAGCAGCTTATCTCCAACTATTCCAATAGAGTTTAAGAGTGGATGTCAGCAAACACCAGACATACAGTGGCAAGTGTAAAAAATTAGATTTCGCTCAAACTTTCATATTTGATTCCTTATTATGACTGATGAATCACTGTGGTGTTTTCATTAAAAAATATTTTTTCGTTTGCGAGATACGATTTTTTTTGTGAGAGAGGTCAAATATGCAAATTTTTGTTGTTTRCAAAGAGTGATTTGYGTGMCCTCRTATAGCGAAAATACTTGACCTTTAGYGATTATACTTACACGTTGTRTTTATCATTATCTYAACCGTTCTCTGGCTGAAAATAMAGTCCTAAAARGAAACTAGTGATTTTTGACAATTTTTTAAATTATGCACACTTTTGATAACGTAAAAAGTACTCCTATTTCACACGTATTTTTCGTTATGACCGATATGGAGAAAACCCACAGGATTTCGTCCAGAGTAAGACCTTAGATTGGTCATCAAACGTATGCAAGAAAATCGATGTGTAAATGTTTTGTTTCTTCAGGCGAAGTACTCAAAGTTAGGAAAAACTTGCATATTTGCAAACTTGAAATCTACAAGTTGATTTCATATGCGGCAGTAACGACTGAAAAACTCCGCTAAACTCCGCGAAAAAATATTTTTTAATAAAAACACCACAGTGATTCATCAGACATAATAAAGCACCAAATATGAAAGTTTGAGCGAAATCTAATTTTTTACACTTGCCACGAATTTTTGAATTTGTTTGATGCATGCTGACATTCACTCTTAATATTTTTGGTGCAAATCAACTGTCGTAGTTCATCCTCTGTCGCATTTTCGGCGTCCTCGACGATTTGACGTTATGTTCCAGGTCAGTTACACATTTACTAGCTTTGAACTTACTATACAACGAGACTAGCTAGAACGGTGACTGGGTTTTTTCGTGTAATGATAGCGACTGTTTATGTCGAAACGACTCGAAAGAAAATTCCATCGTGAAAAAACTTTCGACTACATTCCCTTCTGAAAAACACGTGTGTATTTAAGGTGGAAATTGTTTCATATGAGCATTCCGATACTTAAAGGTTTAATTCTATAATAATTTTTTTTAGTTATGTAAATAAATTCAGCACGACTTGAACTGTTTGTCTGAGTGAAAGGCGAGCTGCGGGTTTTCCCTTTTCTTTATTTAGACTTTCACTAATATGACCGCTTAACAAAAATGCACGGGCTCACTGGCTTACAACCTTGGTGAATTCATATGCAGGCCTGGTCGCAAATCAATCACCCAGGTATGATGATAATTTTGTATGATGATAATGTTGTATGATGATAATGTAGTATGATGATAATGTTGTATGATGATAATGTTGTATGATGATAATGTTATATGTTGATAATGTTGCATGATGATAATATATGATGATAATATGATTCATCATACAACACTTTATCATACAATATCATACAACATTATCAGCATTCAACATTATTTTAATAATATAAAGAATATAAAGAATACTAATAAGGGTGACCTTTATCAGATATAAAGGTCCATGACCCTAGCTAAGGTCTCAGGTTTGAAACCTGATCATTGACCAATGCAGGATGTCAACCGATTTCAGTGAACAGCCAAGAACGGTTCTATTTTACTTAATGCGTATTCAATGTGGGATGACAAGAATACTTTGTAAAGTGATTCGCGCATTTATCTTAAAATGATTGCCCCATTTATCTCTGAACATAATTATTTGTACGGCAATTTCTCCAAGAATTTTAACGGATTTGAGTTTCAAATTAGTGTTAAAGTTTTTTAAACCGTTTAAAACACTCGAGATCGTGTTTTATCAGGTATAAAGATTCTCTCGTGTTTTAAACTATACATACAACATTTTCATCATACAACATTATTATCATACTACATTATCATCATACAACATTATCACCATACAACATTTTCATCATCTTATAAAACTCATTAATATTCATAAGGCAAAACACAATAGACATCATAGCCCATGAAGAGAGTTGTATATTACATACAGATTTCTTGTTCATTTACATAAACTTTTACTCTGATTTTCTCAGTCAGATTGAATTTTTTTTCAAAAGTTTCTTTAAAACCTGAGCTAATTTACCTTAACGTTTCATAAGTAAATATACAATATTCACGTGCGATCTGTATGAGGATTTAAAACAGCTCGCTTTCAGCTCGCTGTTTTAAATCCTCATACAGATCGCCCGCTCATATTGTATATATTACATACAACATTATCACTGGAAAAAATCGCGCGCTTTTTTTTATATCAAATTTTTATCATTTTGGAAACTTACATAATATTTATATCAAATTTACAACCTTTAAAGTGAACGAAATTTTTTCCAGTGTATCATCATACAACATTACCATCATACATTAATGCTACAGTTCTCCTACTAAACTCTTATTTCATTAGGATAATAATTCCACTGCATATGAGCTGTCTGCCACCCAGCATAAATCTCTGAACATCCTAGTGTAAAGAATGGATATTTCTCGGATAGAGTAATGTACTGACACTGGCAATAATCCTTTAACTCTTAAATTTGAATAATAAAAGAATAATGAAAAGAGAAATCTGTTATTTATTGAGCTGCCGGTCATTGCTGCGTGACCGCGGAAGTCCGCCGTGTTGGTTGAGATTTTTCTCGAAAAGAGAAATGTCTCTACAGTACCATGAAAGTTCAGAAATGTTGATTATGTTGTTTTAACTCTTTAAATAAGAATTATAAAAGAGAAATCTGTTATTTTATGGGCTGCTGGCCATTTAGGATGTCGTTGTTGCGTGGCCGGCAGTCGGTTCAAGTTCGCACAATATTGTCTCTAAGTGCAACGAATTTCGGCGCGACGTTTATGTAAGTTTTAACACACTCATTTTACTCGTAGAGTTTTATTTTGGAGTTTGGAAGCTTGTTTGGATAATAAGAGAGGGAAAAACACATTTTATGGGCTGCCGGCCATTTAGCATTTTCAAGACCTTGACCGGTAACAGGCCATATAGACACAGCGTATAACATTTTGCCGTGGAATATATCTTTATTAGCGCCGTATTGATTTGATAGATTCTGTCTATAAGGCCTATTTAGCATTCGGATTTCATTCGGATTATACTTCAAAAG